TTCACATGGGTATTGGCAAAATGATAACACATTATTATTGTTGTATTACATATTTAAATATTAACTATTTGTAAAAGAATAGTGCTTTTACTTTTTCGATGAAAGTACATATGAATATCTAAAATCAATTTTCTATTGAGACTTTTTTCATGAAAACTTTGTATGAATGTCAGAGAAAGTCTGATAACCCATATATCTATAATTTAATGCAAAAGTATAAAAAGATAAGTATCTTACAGAGTTTAGATTTTCAACAATAGTCTGTCTTTTTAAGATAGTGTTGTTTTCCCTTTCAAAATAAAATAATTATATTTACTGAAATAAAGACATGTCAGGAAATTTGTCATTGCTTTGAATATAAATGTCAGTGAAATATGCGCAAGTCTATTTTAAAAATAAATAATGTTTGTGCAGAGGAGAAAATAATATTAAAGCGTTTATCATTGTAATGTCTATGCAGTAAATGATGCTTGGTTTCCATTCTTGACATTACTTATTTTGCATCTCTAATAGCTCTATTAAAACTATAGTAGGTAACAAAACCTGAAAAGATGAATATATGCCTAGATTCATGCATAGGTCAATTAGAATAATGCAAAGCAAAGACATTATTACGAAGTGTTAATAGTACTATTATATTGGAGGTATGTGATACTAATGAAGCCATGGTGATCAAACACTTCTTTACTGTGCACCAAAATAGCTTTATAATTTTATTATTTTTCAGAATAAATATTTATTTTTATAACACCTAATGTTTCCTTGCAGAGTAAATTGATTTAGGTTTCTCATCCTAAATCACAGATAAAAGGTTTTCACAGATGAAGAAAATGATTTTATTTTCATAAATTCCCTCTATCTGCCCACAAGGGGCTGCAATAATTAATATTTACACAAACACAAAGTACTACTCTACAGAAAAAAAATTTAATATAAATCCTCGGGCCAATTTTAGTGATTGCATTTAGAGATTATTACAATCTAAATTCAAATTAACTGTATTAGATGTGGGTTCTGTATTCTCTACTTTAGAAATAAGAGGTGTACAGGAAAACTAGTTAAGAATATGCTCTTGGACTGGGGTATATTTTGGGAAAAAAGGGTAATTTAATAACTACTCTGTGTCTCCATTATAGAAAATAAATCACCAATATAAAATAATATGATTAACAGTAATCTTAAAAATATTTTACCTAAACATAAGTGGTGAGAAACTCTATACACAGAAACAAGTTATCAGTTTGGTGAAAGCACTTAAGTCATCAAAAACTTAATATATATTTCATGAGTAAGAACTGTATTAAGTATTATGCTGACTTAATATCAGGACTCTAATCAGAACTGTTTTCTCTACATTTTGATGCTTGAGGTGACATATTGCTTTTGTGACTTTGTATTGTCAATATTTTCAGTACTTGTGAATGCTAAAAAGGAATAACTGAGACTGCACTATTTATAACATATAAAATAGCCGCCTGTTCTCATTGGTACAATGTTTTTTTTCATTACCAGCAATGGATATTACTAGTTTTTGCCTATTTCTTACTTTGATTAGTTCTGATAGCTTTGATCTGCAGAATCTGTTTTAACCCTTCTCATTCAAAAATATAAAATAAATTACAAATAAATCCCAGAGGAACTAGCGTTGTAACTTTCACTCCATTATAAAATGGTAAGGCTAAAGTCACAGAGATGGATTGGAATACTTGGAATACTATTTCTTTCCTTCTTTCTTTCTTTCTTTTTTTCTTTTTGAGACGACTTTCACTCTTGTTGCCCAGGCTGGAATGCAATGGCGCTATCTCGGCTCACCTCAACCTCTGCCTCCTGGATTTAAGCTATTCTCCTGCCTCAGCCTCCCGAGTAGCTGGGATTACAGGCGCACACTGCCACACCAAGCTAATTTTGTATTTTTAGTAAAGACGGGATTTCTGCATGTTGGTCAGGCTGGTCTCGAACTCCTGACGTCATGTGATCTGCCCGCCTTGGCCTCCCAAAGTGCTGGAATTACAGGCATGAGCCACAGCGCCCGGCCTGGAATACTATTTCTAACTTAATTTTCTTGATGAGGAAAAAGTATGTTGTTAAGGGAGAAAAACTCATCTCCAAATGTCATGTACACAATGGTAAACAATTGAATTTGCAAGTTTTAGGAAAATCTAGAAAGCACAATTCATTGGCATCGAAGTAAGGTTTGTGAAACTGTCTTGACATGAAGAAATAAAGTTGTTATTGCTTCACAAGTTACAATTGCAAACAACTCAAAATCTGTGTTGCGAAGTGATATAAAAGTGACAAGAAAAACAATAGTGAAAAGAGGCAAAAGAAAACATACACAGTAAATATTAAAAAGTGAGCAAGTCCTAAAATATGTTCATTTGCATTAAGTTTCAAGGCATATAGTTAATTCACTCAGTTTCTGAATTTTATTTTATTTTACTTATTATTATCATTATTATTTGAGATGGAGTCTCGCTCTGTTGCCCATGCTGAATGATCTCAGCGGCATGATCTCAGCTCACTGCCATCTCCATCTCCCAGTTCAAGCGAGTTCCGGCTAATTTTCGTAATTTTAGTAGATACCTGGTTTCACTGTGTTGGCCAGGCTGGTCTTGAACTCCTGACCTCAAGTGATCCACCCACCTCAGCCTCCCAAACTGCTAGAATTACAAGCATGAGCCACCACGCCCAGCCTGGTTTCTGAATTTTATGTAACAGAATATGGCAACAATTATTAATTGTTTTCACTGGAGAAAATGTAGTACTAATAAATCGTATCATTGACATTTAAAAATGTTTTGGCATTTTACCTTCCATAACATGTAATTATATTTTTGATATCAACAACTAGTTACCAAATCTAAACCACCCTATAGTGGACAATTTGCTGCATCTAAATCTACAAATATATTGTTTCATTCATCATTCTGCATTACATTTTTAAAAGGCCAATGTAATTGTTTTTACTCTCTTTTAGAACATTTTAAAATCTATTTTAAATAATTTTAATAAATTTAATTTGTCCTTTCTAATTATTGTAGCATGTTTTCTCTACAAAATAGTAACTTATTTAGCACGTATAAAATATTAGCATATTATTGGAGCGTATTTTATTTACAAAATAGTAACTTAAATGTTAAGGTATATCTCTTTAAATACCTCAGAAAATGAAGCTTATTATTTTTTATCTTCCAGAAAATTGCCTTTAAAGGAAGAAAATGGGAAAGAAGCTCTAAATCCAGAAACTATAGAAATTAAAGTTTCTAATGACATCATTCAATCAAAAGAAGACGACAGCAAAGCATAACAACACTATTACAGGGGCTTGAACAACACTACGAAGAGTATTTGGATTGCAGTGACCCTATGACCAAAACTATTCCATTGACCTTAATTTCTTGGGAAACTTCTAGCTTGGAATAGCTTGTACACATATACATATGATCAAATACTCCTACCCATGGCCCATTTCCTTTTGTTATTGTTGTTGCTGTTGCTGTTGTTGTTAATTTTAAGAATTTCAATATCAAGACCTGACTGGCACCAACACTTTGGGTATTCAATTTGATTATATGACTGAAGTACTGGAATTCATTATATGGCTCAAGTACTCTATTTATTAAGAACTATATTTAATACCACCAACAAATATAGGGGTTAAGGAAAAAGACATGAGCTATATGTGTAAGAAGGCTCTGCATGTGTATGAGTCCTATTCTGGGCAAATAGATTCTTAAGGTGGCTTTCAACTTCAAGATGAAGGCACTTAATAACGGTTACTCATTTTATCAGGGGAATTTCAGGGAACATAGGCTTCAAAGAGCCAGTTTATCTTTAGCAGATATTAAAAATTGAAAACTTTGAAGAACTCATTTCAAGCTATGATTCGGTGCATTTTCAACATTGATTTTTGATAGACTGAAGTGCCAGATCAAAATTGTTACCCATTTGAAAGAATATTAGTTGTATATAAAATTAGATTAGAAAGACTTTCTAAATCTCTATCTCTTTATATATGTCCTATTCATTCACAATGGATTATACACAAAAAATGTATTGCAAGTGAAATAATATTGATTTCTGCCCTCAGCTTCAAATAAAGTAAATTGAAATGGGAACAATATCAATATGGTGTCTTGATATATTTATAAATATGTGATTATCATTTATTTTTAAACAACTTATCAAAAAAAGTCTTTAGTGTTCAAATACTTCAAATCATATCCTCAGATATATTTTTAGCCCATAGTTTTATATAATCTTTGAGAACTAATTTTACCACTGTTACAGGTTCACCATTAAATGTAATTGGCTACTGGAAATTAAAATTTTAAGGTTGACTAAATTAAGAAGAAATTATTTAACATTTTAATGTGCCATAAAAGTGTAAATGATAAACAATTACACTTCCACAATGTGTTCTATTCTGGATGTTCTAGCTAGAAGTCATTTTAAGATTTTGATAAACAATTTTGGTTGAAGAAATTCCTTAAATATACAACACAAACCTTCTGATATCTTTTGTTGGGGTTATACCAGAATAAAATGCTTCTTTACTTCCAAGCTATGCAAGCTCCCAGAGGTAAGAGAGTGACACATGATTTAACTTATATGTAAGGTTTAAAAAAGTATTTATGATTATAAACATACATACCATTTGGGAGCAGGTTTACTAACCTTGAGAGCCAAAGGTTTCCTTAGGCCCTGTAACATTCAGAACCTTTGGTGTTTCAGCTCAAATAGTGACGGGATAGGGAATGTGTTCCAAAAGAATATCGGAGCAATTTTTAGCATTGCAGAAACCTGCTTTGGGCATGTGTCTCTGTAGAGATAACCTGATGATTATTAAATGTAAAATTAAGGCAACTCATGAATATTTTTATTTACAAAGTGCTTGAAACTGTCAGCCAAGGAGAGACGACTAAGTAATTTTATATAATTCCTCACTTTTCTGGCTACAGCAGGACAGAATATGACCATCTTCATTTGAAGGCACCAAATCGTCGCAGTGTCTTTGCCATAAATTGCAGGGTTAAATGCAGGAATCTCTCCTTGCATTCCTGTCTGGCATATTCTGAAGAAAAGAACAGAATTCTTGTGCCTACCTAAGAATTTGAGAAGCGTCTAAAACAAACCAGTTAGGTCATTTTAACTGACTTGATTATCCAACTGGTCTTTGACAGATGTGACTGTTGTTATTTAGTTTATGTTTGTCTGATCATCCAGTTTGCTTTATTTTGCTGTGTTTTATTTTGTCGTTTGTTTTGTTTTGTACCAGCGTACTAAAACTAGTCAAAATACTTGAATTAGTTTGTTTGTGCAAAGTGTACAAGCTTAGTAAAGTGTCCATGAAGCAATAGCCATGAATGATAATTATTTCTAAATAGGGCCACATGGTTTTAAACTAATGATGGTGAAAGAATTAGGATGACTGAGAAAGTCATTTCGCATGTTTACTATTGTTATATTTGTGCTTTACTTCAAGAGTGCAGAAATCATAATAAATAACAAACTATTTTTGTGTTTTCTCAATTTGACATTTCTGTTTCTCTCATTTATTTGGATTTTCCTTGTAAAGAAATTGACATATATTTCATATACATATATATATATAGTCTATATATATATATGATGTTAAATTTCCTGCCACTCATGTGGAGTAATGATCTGAAATTAATAGATAATCTGAAGCTAATTATAGTCAGACTATTTCAAGTGCACTGTTTCAGTTGCCCGAGTGGTCCTTACCTCTTGTCCTTGAAATCCATGCCATGCTGAAGCACGGCAATACTGTGATAAAGTATTTTTTTTAATATTTCAATGGAATGCTCCAAATGATTTATAAGAATTTCAAAATAAAAGATGGCTTGTAGTAAATTGTAAAATATGAGTAGAACTGAAATAACCTGTTTCATTCTTATTCTAGATTAAACATATACATATAACCGTATAAATGTTATTTTTATTGTCTGAGAGTACTCTTAAATATTAGTATAAAGTGTCAAAAGAATTGACTGAATATAAGTACTGTTAAAATAATTTGAACCCTGTGATATTTTAAACCAAGAGGCAAAGATATCACCGAAAACTTGATATTTCTTGATAGGTTAGGTGCAATTAGGCAGTGACAATCTATATTCAACAACATATAAGAGGAAAGAGTAATATCAGAATTTTAACACATATTTTGTTTTCAAAACTGGCACAAATTCATGTGTCAACATATTTTACAATAATTGTCAAAGGAATTTAATTAAGAATTGTATTTTTAAAGATTTATTTATTTTTTTTGTGGGGTAAGACATTGCCATTCTATTGATACTAACATCTAACATTAATGTATTGTTTCTTGTTTTCTTTTATTTTTAATATTAATAACTATAAAAGCATTTTTCAAAGGCTATTAGATCCAGCACACTTCATGTGGATCTTAGTCTTTGAATTAAATATTTATATAAATAGATTTTATTAATCAAATTATTTATTCGTGTGCCAACAATTAATTGTAACTTTATGATCATACCTATGTTTACGCTTCTTATTTTAAATAATTAAGATGTATCTGTGCCTTTTAATTAGCATGACATTCTGCTTTATTAAAAGAAAAAACTACAATTAACGTCATTACTAGTATATTTTGCTTAGATTTGAGATACTCGAATGATGCTGTCTTATTTACAGTCAGTAAATAAGTTCAATTCAAACTATTTACCTTGAATATAAAATCTAGATATAATAAACTATACTGTATAAGTTACTTTAATTCATGTCAAAATAGTTCTTTTTATACACACACGAAATATTCTTAATTTGTTCTGTATTGTTTTTCTAAACAATAAATACATTCTAGATATTATTGAAATTAAATTTTGCCAGTTGTAAGACAAAGACAACAGATAACTTTTGAAAATCAAGCAAATTACTATGGTGTTTCTTGGGTCTTCATTATTTCCATTTATATATATTTTATTTAGAATAATAAATCAACCTTTATTTTTTGGCAATAAGATTATCACAGATGAAAATATGTACAGCTCAAGTGGTAGAAATAATATTTTCCATTAGTTAATTTAGGAAATATTGGAATAGCATATTAGAATTATTTATGAGGTTCACAGTGTTCTTTTTCAGAGAAAATAAGGTAAACATTTGACTTAAATCCCCCATGAAGTTTTTTTTACACTCATATTCATAATCATAATCATATAATGTTCTTATTCAACAAGCTTTGTATCTGGAAATATTTTTAACAATAAGTTTGCTAGCATTATTGATTTATCTTTAGAGAGAAAATATTTGCATCTGTTTATTAACCCTTTGAAGCATTAATACTTAGTCACTCACACTGAAATTGTATATGGATGTATCAACATAAGCTAAAATTAAATTATGGATGTGGCAGAAATGAAAAACTTCATCTTAAAAGGTAAAATTTTCAAGAAAGTATTTTATTCATGGACTTAATAATGTCTTAAGATGAAACAATTATAAGTTCAAATGAGAAATTTATAAAAAGACCCACATATAGTAATCGCTGAACAAACATAATTTTCTTCCAGCTCCCATCCTTCCTTTTTGAAAAATTGAATTTACCCATGTAGATGCAGCTATTTAAAATTATACAAGAATGTTAATAGATGAATTATTTCCTCTCATATAAAGGCAAAGAATTTTATATTATATATAATGCTAAATATTTATTTGATAACACACATAATATTCTTAGAAAAATAGTTTATTACTCACTTTAAGATTTTACCTATAACATAAATATATTATCTGATATTACCTCTTTAAATTTTCATTTTACACAATTTTTGAGATTCTGACTACACACAACATTCAGAATTATTGCTCATGTAAATTTAAATATTGCTACTTAGTTTTTTCTTTTCTGAAATGAAAACATGTATCTTTTGGCATCTGTTTTCAGCCTCCCATGGAAGACAGTAAGCAAAACCATTACTGTTGGAGAATTTCAGATCACAACCCGACATAGGAGATTAGAGAAACAAAGAAATGAGTGGATCTAGAAAGGCAAACTGAGTTGCTGTATTTGGAATAGCTAGAAAGGACCTGACTTTGAGAAGTGCTAGACCAGGGACTAGGACCATTGCTTAGATAAAAATTATGGCCCATTAAACTGATGCAAAGGAGAAAACAGTGTAACACAGAGGACAAAGTTAACAGAGATAGAATCTATGATGTGATTTTGCAAATAGTTTTTTTAGAGAACAACATGCATACTATAAAATAAACAATACTATTAAGAACAAACCTATTTGTTCCAACTCTTAAAGAAATATTCATGGTTTAGCATTTGCCTCTAAACCCTGTTAGAAATATGTGAAGTTAGAAATAAAGGTTTTTTTTTTAAAAAAAAAAAAAAAAACAAACATTTTTGGTATGTGAACTGTATGCTGTGCTCAGTATGTACTGAAACATACTATCTTTTATTTTCTTTAATTTATATATTCCATTCAAATTCTATATGCTTAAGTTAGCTATCACAACGTTTTCTTATTGTTTCAATATGGTATGTCCCAATGAAATGCTGTATATATATGTCTAAACTGTAAAAATTATACTGCAAATGTTGAAGTTTTGTATTTATGAGAGACATTGAAAGTATGGCTTACAGTATATCAAACTTGTCACACTTCACCATTTGTATATTAATAGTAAAGATACTTTTACTTTAATAAAGTGTTGCATTTTATGTTTATTTTGAATAACATTTCTGCAGTGAGCAAGCTTATGGTTTTTCAGAGACTTCTGTGTTAAGAAACTTCCAAACATATATCTAGATATTCTAAAGAAGAGAATGCTTTCTGCTATCTTATCTCTCAATGGGTTACAATCTTTTGGCTTCTACACTGAGCAGAGCTCAGAGAATTAAATGAATAAACAGTTGGTTTAGAGCAGTGGTTCTCAAAATGTGACCCCCTAGAGCAGCATTACCTGGGAACTTGTTTAAAATGTAAATTTCTAGACCTCACCAGAGACTCAATAAATCAGAAAGTTCTAGGAGAGGGCCATGGTAATTTGTGTTTCAATAAGAATTTCTGATGATTCTGATGCATTGCAAAATTTGAGATCCAATGGATTGGAGACACTTTTATTTTTT